AAGATCTTTCTTAATATGATCTACATAAAATTAAATCTAATGGCTTTGTAAATCATTTTTCTAGGGCAAATTTTCAACGCTGACACCAGAATCGAGATTTTAGACTTCCTTTTTTTCTGAGGGTAACTGATATTTTTTTAACTAAAAATGAATAGCTTTATTCATACGACTTTTGTGGTTCTTTATCACTAATATCCATAAGATCTTCCAAAGAAAATAATGGAGTAACAGATAGAAATGGATTAGTCGATTCTTTAATTTTCCTTCGAGGTACAATAGGCACAATACTTTTTTTAGAATAGGCTAATTTAGTTTTAGGGTCTACCAACTTTCCATTACAAGCTTGACAATAATATGGTATATGTTTTCAAATTCAAAGAGAAGGAACATACGAAGAAATTTTGTTACTTTTATTCAAAAATATTATTAATTACATCAATTTGAAAATGATTGAAAATTTTTAAAAATAAAATTGTAAGTTTTTTATATTGTATTTTTACTTAACATAGCTAATCTAATATACTAATAGTTTAATATATGACTTTTTACTAAATATAGATCTGATCATGAAGTCTATTTAATGTATAAATAGTTAAATATAACACAGCTTTAAGTTGAATGAATTTCTTCTCAGAGATCACGAAGTCTATTTAATGTATAAATAGTTAAACATAACATGACTTTAAGTTGAATGAATTTCTTCTCAGAGACAAAGAAAAAAAATTAAGAAAAAATATTATATCATAACAACTTTCTTTTACTAAGTGTCTAATATACAAACTTTTAAATATGGATTATTATATTGGTTATATCTGATTTGTTGAAAAAAAAACACTTATATATTAACGATTTTATTGGTTTACAAAATTATAAAATCTATCGAAATAAGAAAATTCAAAAAAAATGTCATTATACAATAGGGAAGAGTCGCTATACATAGAAGGTTCATATGGAAGTGAAAGGCATTTATATATAAGAGGTAGAAGCCAAACTTCACGTGTTCTTAAATTATCAAAAAGAAGAGGCAGAGAATGAAGTTGTACTTCTAATTTGTTAGAAAGGAGAGGCAGAGACCGAGAAAGAAGAAAAAAAGAAAAAAGTGTTAGTGAGGATTATAGAAATATTAGAGGGAAAAAAAGAAGTAAAAGAAGTGAAAGTAGAAAAATTAGAAATCAGGAAGGTAATAAATTTTTATGATAAGAAATATTGAATATTAATAAAAAGATTTATTACAATTTGTTATTTCAATAAGAAATCACAAAGTTACGTTCAACTGTCTTGAAATTGATTGAGAAAGTAAGAGAACTTCGTCATAGAAATAAGAGTTAAACAAAAATATTTTCATTGTCTCCTGACTCTTCAACTAACAGGAATTTTAAAGAAACCCAGAATAATTTGAAATCTATGAATAATAATTATAAAAAGGCTTTTCGTGTTAGTATGAGTACTTTATTGATTGTCATTTTTTAATGGTTAATTTATGATCGTGTAAATATATTTAATTTAACTAATACTTTTATCTATTGTAGAATAATGTCGTCCAAATTTTAAAGGGTTTGGATGACTTTTTAAGATTAGATCATAAAAAATGCTGGACTGAAATTGAAGTGTACATTATTCAAAATACAATACTGGCTATAAAGAGAATACTCAGAGATAGATTTCAATATACTGACGCAGAAATGAAGAAAATTCTACAGAACCTTCATTGCCATAAAAGAGATGCATATACCGTTTCATTAAATCCTTTAAAGTCCAAGATAAACAAGCAAAGAGTTAGTGTAAATAGTAGACGAAAAATGTAAATATCATATGGTTTAAGAATAACTTTATATAGAATCAATGTTCTACATTCATTTCAAAATTTTATTTTGTTTAATGGAGGACTTTTTATTACTTTTGAAAACTCATTGATTACATTAATATTTATTATTATATTTTATTACAAGAAAAAGTATTGGTGAAAAAGAGAACTACAACATATGCTAGATACTAATGATCAAATGCTAACAGACTTACAACTTTTAATGGAATGGAACAATTGGATTAAGGACTTGAAAAAAGTTATTGATGATTCTAGTTACCACTCAGACAAACTTTTCAAATCAGATAATAAAAAAGGTAATGTATTTTTATCGCATATAGTTATTAAATGCTTTATCGATTAAGTATTAATTACTTTCTTTTCTAGCACAAGAAGAAAAAGATAAGAAGATTCGTTCATTCAGAAATGAAAATTTGAATCATATTATTTACGTATATGACAAGAGATGGAGATCGTAAGGGTAAGACACTGATTTTAGCATTTAATAATTATTAATAGTATGTAATAGATTTGACGATTCTTACAGTACGCAGATTCTATAGGAGAAACTACCCAAAATATCAAAGTTGTAAGGAAAAGGTGATATAATGATAATATATACATAGATAACTTCAAGCCACCCTTTAATGCTTCAAAATGGACCATTTCGTCTTCATACTGATCTGAATAGAATTGTGTTTATTTACTAATAATTGTAATTTATTTTCATTTATAATTAATTGTTTATTTTTTATATATGTAGAAAGTTGTGTTTAATTAATAGTGTTTAACAATATAATTATCAATAACATATCATTTATTAATAAT